CATAATTTCTAATATGTCTCTCCTTCTTTCAGGCATCTTCTACCTGGCGTCTTTCGTGCCACGGATATTGGATCCATCCGCTCCAGGTAGTAACGGTGGCGAGCCAGATGTTGGAGGACAATCTTTCGACTACATTGTCGTTGGTGGCGGTTTGACTGGCCTAACAGTTGCTAACCGCCTGAGTGAAGACTCCAGCCGTAAGTACCGGAATCGCATATGTGATGCACAATCTAACACTGTTAGGCACCGTGCTTGTGATCGAGAATGGGTTCATGGTCGACGATGTAACCACACAAGTACCTAGCTTTGCAAACAGCATCAACTCGGCTCTAATGTACGACATCACATCGGCATATGATACTAACACAGGCGGCACACACCCTGTCTGGGTCGGCAATGTCGTTGGTGGTGGGTCCGTGGTCAACGGTATGGCCTTTGACCGAGCATCCGCCGCCGACTACAATGCTTGGGAGCAACTTGGTAACAGTGGCTGGAACTTCAACAATTTGTTATATTACTTCAAGAAGTCGACCACCTTTACACCACCCACAGCATCCAACGTCAAAGAATTTGGCACTACCTATGACGCCTCCTACTATGGTACAAATGGTCCGATCCAAGCATCCTTCCCCAACTTCGAGTACCAAGATACGAAGACCATTTGGGCAGCATACAAGCGTGAAGGTGTACGCTTGCCAAAGGAACATGCCTCTGGAAATGCAGTAGGCGCATTCTGGATACCCACTGCCCTGCGGCCCAAGACGCAGACCCGATCTCACGCAAAGAACGAATACTACGATCCAGTCAAGACCCGCAGGAACCTCATTCTCATCACCGGCCAGACCGTTAACGAGATCCTATTCAACAAAGGCCTGCTTACAGGATACACGGCAAACGGCGTTCAGTACAAATCTCGTTCAGATGGCTCGGTCAAGCAAGTCTACGCAAAACGCGAGGTCATCATGGCTGCCGGCTCAATCTTCACACCACAACTACTCCAACTCAGCGGCCTTGGTCCCAGAAATGTGCTCCAAGCTGCCGGCATCACCGTCAAGAAAGACATGCCCGCCGTCGGCGCAAACATGCAAGACCACCCAAACGCCAACATGGTCTTCGATCTCCAAAATCTTTCCTTCCCAAGCATTTACAGCGGAGTAGACCCTACATACAACGCCACGGTATGGTCAGAGTACGACACGAGCAAGAGCGGCCCTCTCACCCAAGCGCACGGTAGCAGCTTAGCGTTCCTCAGCCTACAGACCGTCTCCGACAAGTGGTCTTCCATTGTGCAAAGCGTAAAGTCGCAAAATGCGCGCAGCTACCTCCCCTCCGTCTACGACGACGCTTCTCTGCTCCGCGGCTTCACCAAGCAACGCGACCTCATCGCCAATCTACACGGCAGCGCCGATGCCGCCGTCGGCGAGTTCCCCATGGTCCCCTTTGGTCTCGCCATCAGCTCGCTGCAACGCCCCCTGTCCCGCGGCACCGTCACACTCGATCCCACCAACAAATACGGCAACCCCGTCGTCCAATGGAACTCGCTGCAGAACCCCGTCGACCGCCAGATCATTGTGGAAATGGTGCGCTGGACGCGTAGGCACTGGGAGAATCCGGAGCTTAAGAAGTTTTCCCCCGTTGAACTTACACCCGGATCACAGGCACAGACTGACGACGAGATTATCGATGATCTTGTCAACCAGAAGGCGCTGCAGGCGTCTTTTGCACACATGTCGGGTAGCTGTGCGATGATGCCCGAGGCTTATGGGGGTTGTGTTGGTAGTGATCTCGCTGTGTATGGGGTCAAGGGCCTTAGTATCGTGGACGCTAGTATCATTCCTTTGATTCCGGCTACCCACTTGCAAGCCACCATGTACGCGGTTGCGGAAAAGGCGGCCGACTTGATCAAGGCCAGAAACGCTTTCAATATTCTCAACCCGTTTAATCTCCCGACTGTCAGTCGTGCGCCTTCCATCCTTGGGGGGCTTGGAAATCTCTTTCGGTTTGGAGGGAGTAGGAGATTTTGAGTTTTAGTGTACCATGTAATACACCACACTTTCTTTGACACTATATTTTGAGTTGAAACTACATTGAACTACAGTGATACATGTGCTTCTGTTCTTCTACAGCACTTGCAATTATCACATTGTTCTACGTCTTGCCCCTAAGGTTCTCGCAGCTAGTCATACCTTTATGATGTCCTTGCTTGAAAGCTGCAAGAGTGCCGACGAGGAAGCTCAAGTTCACGAGATGCAGGGCCAGTCACATATACGTGTTGCAGACTTACGGTCCCGTAAGCCCACCCCACTCGTTGCAAGAGCCATCAAAACCAGAGCGAGCATCTTCACCACGACTAAACAGAACAAGAGGAGCAAGACATGGATTGCCCTTGGTGCGAGACTCGTCGACTTCTATCGTTCATCTCCACCCATTGAATCACAATATCCAATATCCAATGAGCCCTCTACCTCACACCTCTTTTGAACAATACCTTAATCACAATCCCCCTACAACCTCCCATCCCCACCCTATCCCCATCACTCCCCCGAAAACCACGGCGCATGCTCCCTCAAAAACGCCACCTAAACGCTCTTCTTCCTCTCCTCCTCCTTACCAACCTCCAACCTCAACCACTCAGCCCACACACCCAAATCATCAACAACATCCAGCGCACGCGCCAACCTCTTCACCTTGGCATCTTCTTCCTCAAGAACAACATTCTGCTCAGTAAGGATCAACTCGCCATTGGCCTGAACATCGATTGCCAGCGCGAGGGGAGCGTGGTACGCAGAAGGAGGCGAAGGAGAAGAAGGAGAAGGGGTAGTAGGTTCATCGAGATGAGACAAGAGATCCGCTATGATCGCAGCATCATCTGCATCTTTACTCTTCTTCTCCTTTTCAGATGAACATGCCGCCTTCGCCACAGCAGCAGCACACGGATGAGGAACATGCAGCGTGAACCGAGGCACAGGCGGCGCATAACTCAGATTAACGTCGAGTTGCAAACCTGGCAACAAACCTCCTACCTGTGCAGCCTTGTGCGGTGGTGATGGTGGTGTGAGCTCATAATGGCCCAATTTATGCGTCGGGACTTGCTTCTTCGGAGCTTCGTAGAAACAAGTCTTGAGCAAGCTCGTAATATGCGCATACTGTCTCAACACAGGCAAAACCTCCACCAACTGTTTCGGATGGCTAAAAGGCAAAGCTTCTAGCGTGCGACTATACTCGAGCTTAGGTATAAAAAGGCTCATATCATGTCGTCTATCCTTTTCTTGTCCATCCTCACACCGAACCAAAACAGTTCGGCTACTCCGAATCTCATGCGTAACATCACCCACCGTCGTACCCGACATTCCCGGATCAACCTCGCCCGGTCTGAGCGCCAGGCCTGCAAACGTCTCGGGACGGAAGTCGTCGGTGCGCGGCTCGATACCGACGAGCTGGTAGAGTTGCATGTGGACGGCAAAAGGGACGACGAGCGGGGGATTGAACTTTGCGACGAAGCGGACGTTGGGAAGGCGGCCCGCTGCCGAGTCGAGGTTCATTGCGTCGTGGTCGTGATCGTTGTCGGCAGTCTGCTCGGGGGCTGGTTCGAGGTACGTTGGCTTTGGGTCGAGCCAGTCCAGGGATGATGAAGAGGCGTGCGTGAGTATGTTGTCTAGAGTGGCGTTCGCGTCGTGCGTATCCGTGGGTTTGTCGATGCGGTCGCTGATCCAGTCGTCGGATATGCGAATGGGTGTGTACAGAGTCGAGGGCGAGGCTTCGCACTCGATGGTCAGCGAGTACATCTTGTTGTGGCTCTTGTCTGCATCCTCGGGGTAGGCTGCAGATTCCACGGGCGGGTCGATTTGCATCCGACCATCCATCCAGTACTCGAGGCTCAAGCCCAGACAGGATCCGCCGTTGAGTCTGGGCCGGCCGCTCTTCTTGCACAGCACCTCGCGCTCAGCTTTGTGTGTCCTGAAGCGCTCGTCGGGCGTCCTTTTTGCGAGCTCCGCCTTCTTCTCGTGTTCGAATAGCTTGCGCAAACTCGTATAAACCCCCGCAATCGCATTGTAGCAGCTGACCCCTCCGTTCTGCGCTGACCCCAATTTATCCAGCGTAAGCAGCTTCTCTAGACTCTCCGAGAAGCGCTCGAGCGTGACGTTGAGTTTGCTCTGGCCCGGCAAGGGTTTCAAGCTCCGGACGAGTATCTCGGACCCCGTTGTGCCGAAATGGAGATCGGGTCTCGATTCGTCCAGGCCGGTTTGCAGATTGACGCTCGCAATCTCGTCGTTGTGGAACGTCACATCGCAGAGGGCTTCGTCGCCAATGAGCAGACTCCAGGTGCCTGCCTCGTCCATGTGTTTCTCGCACGGTATGCCCATTCTCTTGCACAGCTGCAGCAGACCTTCCTCACTGACCCTGCCAGGCTTCTTGCCGACGAGGTCGATGATGGCGCGTAGACGCCGGCTTCGTTCGGCCTCGTCGGCGCGACCCATGGCGCTCGCGCTCATGCCTAAGCTGGACATGCCGAGCCCGCTCATGGTGATGCCCATGCCGACGCCGCCCATGCCGACGCCGCCTATGCCTGAGCTGGCCACGTCGTTGAGCATGTTCAGTACTGCGGGCGAATCGTACGACATCATGTTCACGTTGCCCGAAGGAGGGACGCTGCGCGGGGCGGGCGAGGAAAAGGCGTTGAGGTTTTTCGAGGGCGTTTCCTTGTCTTTGGGGGTTGGGGTTGCCATGGTGGGTGATGGATGGGTCGTGTGTATTATTTGTAGTATTCGTGTGTATTATCTTTACATTAAAGAACCCTCAAAGGGTCTGGCGGGCCGTGGACGTTATGCTATCATGTTGCGTTGGTGCAAAGGTAGAGCAAGGGTTCACCACAGAGGAAGCGCGCCCATGGTTGTTAGTCTTGGCGTCGCAAGCAAGTCGCGACATCCGCGCCAAGCTTCCTCATGTAATTGTATTCAACAGAGTGCAAACAGTGTCGCAAGGGGGTGTCATATCGTCTTTCAGTCCAACTCCACAACCCCATCTTCCTCCCCAATCTCAATGATCCTGCTCTTCGCCCGAGTAGCCGCAGCCCTCCCCGTCGTCTTCTTCTTCGACCCGAGCACAAACTCGCCATCGTCGTTTGTGTATTCAATAGCCCTCACCCTCTTCTTTGGCCTCTGCCTCCCACCCTCCTCTTCTTCCTTTCTCCGCTCCGCCGCTTCAACCTCCCACCGCTTCCTTATTTCGTCTTCGACTTTATTCTCCATTGTGTGGAAAGACGCGTGGTGTCCGCAGCCATCGCATTCGTACGACGATGATGACTATAGCGTAACATGACTATTAGCTATGTGTGCTGGCGGCATGTGCCATCAGGCGTGGCAATAATGCCTATCGCTGTCGGCAAGAGACAACATCACGACTCACCTTGAGCGGATGCAACATGAACCTCAAACACGGACATTTGGCCGCGAGGAGAGAAGGCTTATGGTTACATTGTCCGCGGGGAGGGACGTAGTTCATCTGCGTCCAGACATTTGGTGCGGCGCTGTTGTTCGCCATGGTTGTGTTGGGATGCGCTGTGTACGTAGATCTAGATAGACGGCGAGCTGCACTCATCAATGACCAGTGGTGATCGAAGCGCGAGAGCACATTCCATCACATAGTTGGCGCGCATGGGTGAAGCACAAGGTGCGCGCGCGCGCAAACACCAAATTGTCCCGAGTTCACGTGCTGCGCTATGCGGTAGCCGGATTGGGAAAACCCCGCTCCGCAAAACTCACCCAGCTAGGTGTGGCTGCGCGTCATGGTCGTGCGACAAGTCGAGTATGCGCTTTAAACAGACTGAAAAATGCATCACGATGATAGTTCTGGGCGCAGATTTCGAAGCCTGATCAATCCTTGTACTGCACGGCACTGCTCACCAGGCGCAAATCATGCGATATGCTTAGTTTACTGCTTATTCGGTCCGCAGCGAATGCTTTGATTTGGAATTTCCCCTCTGTTTTCCAAGTGTAGTGCCAAATTCCGACCCAGAACGGATTGCCTGTGCCACTAAGTCCATATATCGTGCGTAAGCGGATAGCTTCCCTCTATCCGTGATGCGTCGGTGGGATGCCGTCGCTGAGGTAAGGCCTCGGCACTAGAGCAGTAGTGGTGGAGACCCTGCCGAGTGGGATGCCGTAGGGCGCTACACGTCGACCAAGTTGGCGAGTTGGCGATCGCATACAGCGGGGTAGACAGTCGTATATAAAGCCCGAGGTGTACATGTCGCCAACACCCTGACATTCAAACACGACTCTTATCCTCTCGGCCCCAGCAACTAGACATTTCTAATAACTTCTCTTTCTACTCTAAACCCACGACAACCTCATCCCAAATGGCTTCTGGAGGATGCTACTGCGGCGCGGTCCGCTATGAGGTGTCCGGTGAGAGTGGAGGCAGCATCCTATGCCACTGTCTCGACTGCCGCAAAATCACCGGTTCGGCTTATAGCACCAACGCCGTCTACCCAGAAGATGGCTTCAAGGTCACCAAGGGCACGCCAAAGCAACACACAGTCAAGAGCGACAGTGGAAACGAGATCACCTCCTACTTCTGGTATGTAGAAATCCATATTCGCTATCGTAATGGCAATGTAGCGAACCAATGTCCTGACCTATTCTGTGCAGCGGCGACTGTGGCTCGACCATGTGGCGTCAGGGTCCTTCCTTTGCCGGAAAGCGCATCGTCAAGGTAAGCTGGTCCCAAGCCTATTGGTATCCGCCAGGCCTTTGTTAACGTGTGTAAACGTGTGTACAGGTGGGAACCCTCGACGACACCAAGATCCTTGACAACCTCAAGATGGACGCCGAGTTGTTTGTAGGCCACAGGCCGAAGTGGGTCGGCACGCAAGAAGGCGCAGCGCAGAAAACGGGCATGTAAGCGGTTCGATTCGGGTGCTCGTGAGCAAGAGAGGACGGAGAATGCTAGTCGGCACTAGGATTGCTCGCAGTGAGACTTGTAATCAAGTGGGTTGCTTAAACTTCTACTCCGAGTCTGAACTCTCTGGCTCCTTTAGGCGCTCCCTCATCATCTGTGATGTGATTTGTGTCAGTGGTGAGCCGTCATGTTGTGGCATGTTTGTGAAGCGCACCTGGTTCAAACGCGCTTTGAGCTCGTTGATACGCGTTTCCTTGACTAATATGTGCTCCTCGTCGAGCTCTTCGATGATGTATTCGTTGTTGTTCTTGCTGTCAATGTCGACCAGCATGGCTTTGATGGATGCGTCGCACTTGACGAGCGTGCCTGCCATGGTCAGCATGATGGAGGAGGGGCGGAAGCGGGAAACGTACCTCTGATTGCTTTGACCATCTCCGAGTCTCTGCCAGAATATCTGCGGGGTGTTGGTGGGTAAGTAGAGGAGGGCTGGACAGCAGGGTGCGACCTCGCTGACGCGATTGCTTGGCGGAATCGTTCCGTAAGCACACTAGGTCCCGATGCCTCCGCTATTTCCCAGTGAAGAGTAATTAACACTTCGACACCTCGGCATTTCGTATTTCTCTCGAGTAACAGGACTGTACTCGGATCATCCACAGTCATTGTCATCGTTCAAAATGGGTTTGAAGCTTCAATCGCAGGCCTCATGCTCCTGCCCAGTGTACATCCCAGCAGGCGCAACTTAGGCAAACCTGCAAGACGTGCAAGAATGGCAGGCTCCTTGCGGTCAATGTTAAGAGCGCCCATCTTGTCTGGCACTTCTCGAATCGCCTTGCCAATGCCCTAATCACCGCCCTCGCAGTATCGTGTGCGCATCACTATCGTAGCACTCCTACGGATGCATCGTCATCCCCACCAGAGACCTCTACTGCACTCGCTGTAGTCTAATCACCTGCGACAATGGCTTACCTCAATGTGCCCATCGAACCGCTGTCTTCAACAAGTATATCACCAACCGTCCCCAGCGACGAAGACGCCCCCTCCATCGAGCACATTTCATTCAACTACTACCTCCTCTTCCTCGGTGTACCCGTTGCACTCATCGCTCTAGTCTGCTTTCACGTATACCGACACAGAGCCACACAGCGTCAGAACTATCAGCAGACAGAAGCGAGGTATGTCGAAGGATGGCCTCGCATTCGCAATCTCGTGTGTGGGACATATGGGATTAACGATTCTGTTACTGCAAGGCAACCTGAGGGTCTGAACGAGCATGTGCCCAATGTCGATGTACATGTCGAGGACGGGCTGAACGAGAACGGAGAAGCACCACCACCCTACCAGTCCAAAGTAGAAGAGACAGAGGCGGTGGTTGCGATATCTCTTCAGACTCTACAGAGGGACGAGACTGTTCGGCGAGAGACGGTGGGTGAGCAACCGCCACCACAGTACACTGCAGCAGAGCGCACGGCTTCCACTCTCAGCACGGGAGAAGAGGGCACGCAGACAGAGGCAGAATCTGGGGCGAGGACATGATGTACAGGCCGGAAATAGGGACTAGATGGTAATGGGAGCGAAGTGCCGAGACACGACCAGGGACGCTGCGCTAGTAATGTATGTCAGTCATTGTGAATAGTAACATCGACACCACATCCCCTGACTTTCTATTGCTATTCATCGTCTGTGAGTCTTCCTAATTGACACGGTTCAGCTCTACCCCCAAGAAAGAGACACATCAGAGAGACACAGACATAAGGAAAACATGAAAGAAGAACGATAATAGAGAGAGAGCCTGATCATTCGAGACACCCATTCAACTCCAAAACGGACCTATACCCTGTTGCTGTTGCGGACTCGAAGTCTGTTGCTGTGTCGATGCCGATAATGCTGGAGCAGAGGCGTTCGGTATACTGCACATCTTGTCAGCACTACGTTCCTACATTGAGTTTGTCACACAAAAACAACGCGCAGCAGAAGATGGGACGTGAGAATGTCAAAACATACTGAACCTCTCTCATATTCGCGCCCGTGGCTGATCCACCTGGAGCACTGGCGTACAGATCAAGCACGTAGCCCATGGTAGGTATGGCATTGCGTACGTGATGGCTTGCTCTCAGGGCTTGGACACTAGATCTAATTGTGCCCTCAACGTCTCCAGATGCCAATGTACAACCTTTTGGTAAAGAAAGGTCAGCTTGGAATTCGTGTATTCGCATTCACTTTCGCTTGTGCTACACAAAACGTGTTGCAGTCTTGCTCCAAGGTTTTGTCGTTGGCATACACGAATACGGACGTACGTACCGGCGTGTCCCAATACAACAATCATACCCAGCGGCTTTGCTTGGTCGGCATAGTAGATGCGACTGATGGTTTGGTCTCCGGCTGTTACACGTGCACCATCTGTTTTAAGGATTGTGGTATGTGGGTTGGTCGTGTTCATGTACCGGGCTGGATCAAGAACAGTGCCAGAGGTAGATTCGGTGCAGCATACTAATACCGTCAGTAAGTCGTCATGGCCGAAGAGACGTGGCGAAGAGGCGGGAAGAAGGGAGAGAGCGAGGAGGGTTGAGAAAGGGATGAAAAGTCGACTTACCAATATAAAGGACCGGAGCGGTAGACATGACTTGGACGTGACGATTTATCGAGATGAACAGCGGTATGTTTACTTGTGTATAACGCTTTGACGACTTGAATAAGAGAATGTCCTGAACTACAAGATGTCTTCTTGTTATTCACCGCTCGAGTTACAATGGCATTGATCTTTTGCCCACCCTTGACATTATACAACTCTTGCTCTTATATCATTCCATATCGCACCGCACAATACCAAACGTCTCGCCAACTGCTACCACACTACCCAACGGCACACATTGCAAATCAATCTCGCCTTCCCATACAGCGTGCTCGTAATCAGCATGTAACCACAACATCCTGCCAACACCTCTGTTGCTTGTTTCTCATTACCTCTAGCTGACCAACCGATAGTATCTCGGCTCTCTTGCGTTAACCCTCGCGTCCTTCTCTGCCATAGTTCGGGGGTAGAGTTGATTACACATGTCTTACTCTTCCTCAATACTGCGAAAAGAACCTTGGAAGAAGCAAGGAAAAGAAAAGAAGGCCCGCATGCTTTTAGCGAATCTACAGAACGCCACGTGGTTCACGGATCGGGAACATGTATGGCAAGATGGTATTTGGTCCCTTTACTCCAAGCAACAAGCCTGTCTGTGCTAGCAAACGAGCGGCCGATACAGTACTAGCGCCCATCGAGACAGGGGATGAAAGGTACCTAGGACGGATCGATGGATGCTTGCCAGCACGTTAGTATATTTTACCATGTTTAACAAAGCATGATCAAATCACCCATTCAACTTCGCCGCGCATCTTGATATGTCAACATTCCTAAGCCAGGCAACGGCCGTTGTTTATGAGTTAACGTAATCCACAGCCATGGATACGAATCGAAGGCATCTCGACATCTCAGCCCAGCCGACATAAAACCCCCCAAACCAGCTGCAAGAACGCCAGGTCTATGGCGCGTCATGTCCATTGCGAATGGCTTTCGCATTCCAGACGTGTGTGTAGCAACAATGTCAAAACAGTTATTCAGCGACATGTCAGCTTACGCGGGTGACCCAGGTTCTTGATTCTTGGATGGCATCGTGCCTTTCCGCTTTCGGTAACGCGTGCAGCGGCGGGATGACGCCATCAACAGACAGCTCCGATGATGACGATTGGGAATGTGTAGACTGCCGCCTCGATGATATAGCTGTGTTAAATATAAATTTCATGTACGCTACCTAACTAGGCGAAAGGGCAGTAAGCGCCTGAGACGCGCGGACAAGAGGAAGATGCAACGAAAGGTATTTCGTGGTCAGCTAACAAGGTTATGAGGGAACTTCAAACCAGGCTCAGCATGGCTATGAGAGAGTGAGAGCGCGCAAGTCTGTTCTCAATTTCAAAGCATGTGTTAGGAGTTTGTGAGAGTGCGCTTCAGGCAATAGACTTGTACTGTCTGCCGAGTAAAAAGTAGTATCGCAGCGGACGGGGCGCGCTGCGAGTCAAGTTCGACTGAGCTTACGTGTCCGTGCGTTTAATGCCCGCGTTCACTCGATGCTTAGACAGCAGCACGACAGCTACCTGGAGATGGAGAGCTGTAGAGCTACAGAAAATCTTATTGATATCATCATAACTCGGGACTTTGTTATCCATACACTTGTGTTATGGATCAAACTAACGACCTCAGCAAGATCACGTGCTACGGTAGCTGAGTAAGGTGGTTCGTGTGCTAAAATAATGTGGTATGTTTACAAGTGGGCAACACAACCAACATTTGGAAAAAAGACTCAAGATCAACTAGTATCAAGCTACAATATCCAATTCACAGACTACATACTAGGGATTACCTGGCATCAGACCGGAGAAGGCCTTTGTACGCTGGGTCCTCACCGTAGCTAACGAGCAGCAACCAGGCCCGACAAAAGGACATCGCACACAGCTACTACCGGCCCTCTAGAATACTCTCCGATGCCTTCTCGCTCAGAATATAGACACCAGCAACCGGGAAGGCTCCAGGAGACCGAGGAAACGCACTAGCATCGACGACCCGCAGGCCAGAAACACCACGGACACGAAACTTTGAATCCAAGACTGCATTCACATCAGAGCTGGGACCAATGGAACACGTACCGATAACGTGGTGCCCAAAGATGTTCTCGCGGATAAAGTCTTCGTCACTGCCGGCGATGGAGCAGCTTCCGTCGGCACCGACCGTGCCTGCGCAAGGCGGCCAAGAGATATTGTAAGGCGCAAAAGGTGCTTGTACGCGGTTAAACGCACGACGACCCCAGGCGAGGAACTCCTTGATAGCGGCAATGTCGCCCGCAGCACCTGTACCATTGAAGTGTCGAAAGTTGATTTCAGGCGTTACGGTCGGATCAGCCGAGCGCAGCTTGAGGTAGCCAGCCGTGCTATTGCCGTGAATATGGACGCTGTGCATGCCCCAGGTCGTTGGCGGGTCATCCCACGACTGTCCCGTGTTGCGGGGCCAGAAGCCGCGAAAGCCAAAGGAACCGGGGAAGATGGCAATGTCGCGCTCGTCGTTTGTGGTGTGGTTGGTTTTGAGGAAGGCGAGTTGGGTGAGACTAGGCTGGACGTAGGGGCCCTCGCCGCGGAGGTAAAGTGCAAGACAGGGATCGTTTGGAGCCCCGTAGGTGCATTGCGAGCGAGGACCGCCAGGAGCAGCGGAGTAATCGAATGCTTGGGCGCCGTGGCCGATGACGGCGATTTCATTGTGGTCTTGCATGTTACGGCCGACGCCTGGTCGGTCGGCGATGACGGGGATGTTCAGGGCTTTCAGGTCTGCTGCTGGTCCAATACCGCTGAGTAAGAGCAGCTGAGGGGTACCAAAAGATCCACCACTGAGAATGACTTCTTTTCGAGCAAGAACCCGGCGTGAGGGCTTCTTGGCTGCCGGATCATGGCGGAGGTCGCCCTGAAAAGCGCTTTTGCCTTGCAGGTATTGGACGCCAATGGCGCGAGGCAATGAGCCTTCTTGAGGCTTGTCGAACAAGACTTTCGTAGCGTAGGAGTTGAGGCGGACCTCGAGGGGGTATTTCTTGTTGCCTTTCTCGTCCACGGCGCGCAAGGTATCGAGGACTCGGTTCCTAGAGCTGTAGCGGGCCCAGGTGGCGTTGGCGTGTTGGGGCAATCCCGTAAGCCCTGTAATCTGGTCTCGGTCGGGATTCAAGACTTGGTTAGGGTCAATGTTTAGGATCTCTTCCAGGTCCTCTGGATCTTGGCCCGCCTCGGCAGCCATGGCCTCGAGAATTGCAGTTGCTTGGGGTGAAGAGAGAAAAACGGTTCCGTTGCCCAAAGTCGTCTCAAGATACCCATCGAAGCCGTGGCCTGGTGTACCACGTGGGCGGTATTGATTCTTTTCCAACTTGATGAACAGTTCCCCCATGTGAGTAGCACTGCGATTTTGTTCGTTAGCTTATTCGTGGTCCTCTGGAGAGCAAAGAATGGAAATGATAATAAAACAGGATCGGGGATACCGTACTTCCATGACTCATCTCCTGTAAGGTTCTTGATATAGTCCCAATCGCTATCGGCAGGAAGGACAGTCAGGGCAGAATTAACAATGGACGATCCTCCAAGTGTAGCGCCGCGAGGATACTGGATACCAACAATCTCCGCTCCTGCAGGCGCCTCGCTGCCCGGACCAACCCACAACTTTCCATCTGGCAGCCTCCAAGTAAGATGGCGGTACTTTTTCGTCAACTCGACATCGTCGTAATGACGAACCCAATACGTCCAAGTGAGGGCCGTAGTATCTGCCGTGTTTGTCAACGCAATAGCGTTTGTGATCATGGCAGCACTGTCATCGTCACCGGCTTCGAGCAAGAGAGTCTTGAATCCAGAGCGTGCGAGATTGGCGGCCAGTGGGCCTCCTCCCGGTCCGGAGCCGACTACCACATAGTCGCAAGTGTCGACTGAGTTGGCTGTTGCTGCCAACGCAGAGACGGTGCTGGCGACAAGCAGGATGCTGCTGAGGTGGGAGGCCGCTTCCCAAGGGCTCACGATTCGCATGATGAGGTAACGATGCAGAGGTTCGATCGAGAGTGAGAGAGAATGAAGTTGCCAGAAGAAGGCTTGCTGTTGGTAAGATGAACTCAACGAAAGGTGAATATTTGAGACGAGCAGACGAGGCACCCTTTTGTACGTGAAGCGCAAAGTATCACGTCCCGTGCTCTTGTCCAAGTTTGCTGTTATTCGAGTCTTGCTCGATGACATTTTTTCCCCATTTGGATTAGCCGACGTGGTGTGTCGCTCGCGGATACTTGGGTTAAGCAGGCGCAATCAATGTAAAATGCGTCCGGCACGACTAACAAATTCCCCCGAAATACACCGCATGGCTTTACGTTAACGCCGTACGATAACTCCCCGCATAAGCTGATCCAGAATGTTACAAACAGTGCAACGCGTACTCTCCCAACTGTCCTGTCTACGATATCCGCACCTACCCGTACGACAAAGGAACCAGTTAGAAAAAGTCTAGCTTCTGATTCATACAAGTAAGCAATTACCTTGTCACCCCACACGCACACACACCATAATTCACACAACAAACTTCAATTCTCATCCATAATCAAAAACAACATGATTCATTAAAAGTTCCTATAAGCCTTGGGGCCCACCAAACATGAACCTATAACACAACCAACACCCCTAAACCGTATATCCAAAAAAAAAAAAACCAAAACCCGGGTATCCAAGAAAGATAAAGAACCACCCAACCCACTAACCGTCCCATCCTTCCATCTGCGTTCTCTCCCCCTTCCCTTTCTCATCTCCCACCACCCCAACAAGACCAAGGCGGCGGGGCGGGGCGGGGCGACAAAAACAACTACGGCAAATCCCCGTAAGTCTTCCCACTACTCTTCCCCCTCTGCCAAAACCTCTTCTTCTTCTCCGGCACCTCTTCCCTCCTCGTCTGCACCACGGGCTCAGGCGGCCCCGAATTCTTCAAGAAATCCGCCAAGTCAGACGTCGCAGTCCTACTGCCACCACCACCCATAGCGCCCATACCAGTCCTTGCATCTCCCACAACAGCAGGGGCACGGGCTTGCAGCCTAGGTTTATTCGTTGAAGGAGATGGTGCAGTACCATTGCCATTGCGAGAAGCAGGCAAGTTAGAAGACGAGGGATTGGAACCATTTTGGCCTGCAGCCGCCCTCGCCCTCGCCGCAGCGATAGTCTCTTCACTAAGCAGGAAAGGTTGGGGTTTAGCCGACGACGCGCCTCCAGGGGGATCCATGCCGTTCAAAAAGTCCATTAGGCTCTCCTCCCTCTGCCGAGGAGGAGCCGCTTGTCTCTGTGCTGGTTGTTGTTGCAGCAGTTGTCGTTCGGGTTGGTGGTTCCCAGTGGGCGTAGGCAGCGCCGTGAGTTGGTCTTCGTCCTCGTCATCGTCGTCCTCATCGTCGTCTTCATCGCTCAAATCAATGGCATACGGATCCTTGATACGCCGTCTCGTCTTGGTGATGCCCTCCATTGCATCCCCTCCACCGGACATGCTGCCGCTGAGTTGCCCCGGCCCTCCCGAATACGCAGGCTGAACCACACTGGGACTCGGGATAAGACCAGTCCGGCTATTAATCGTCGCCGTGCTGTCCTTGCTCTCAAGCGTACTAGCCGCAGAGCCATACGCCGACTCCGCTACATTTCTTTCGGTGGTCCTGTCAGCCCTAGACTCATAAGCACTCTCTACACCTCCATGTCCCCCGAGCATAGTATCAAAAGTGTCGCTATCAACAGTCGTCCGGAACGGCGCGATATTCTTCGGTATCCTTGGTTGTTTATGGTTTGCGTCTGGCGGGCCCTGTCTGATAAAATCGATCAAGTCACCGTTTCCTGTAGACAGGCCGGCGGGAGAGCGGGGTTCCATGTTGGGTCGCATGCGTGAAGCTGGAGTATTGTTCGCATTACCAGATTGCCTGGAAGTCGACATCTTGCGTCCGAGAGAGGAAGTCGAGTGGTTGCCTGATTTCTGGCCATTATTGCTAATGTTGACAAAGGGCTGGATGGGCTTCTCTTGGCCAGGGGAGGGACCGGTGGAACGGATAAAGTCTGCAAAGTCGCGCATGGATTCCGATTCGATCTTGGGGTCTCGAGCGAGAGGTCTGGTAACTACCTTACGGCTGGGTGAGGGTTTGTGAGAGGAGGTAGCAGTCGGTCCTTTTGCTCTTGGTGCTGTGGTGTTGGGCAGGTTGGCTGTGCCAAAGCTTTTGTCAGAGGCGTCAGCCCGAGGGTAGACGGTCACGGAGGCAGAAGAGGCTGAAGATTTGCGTGGTTCTGTCTTCTTCAAGACGGGGGACTCCTACCGCATGTCAGTGTATGTAGAAATGAAAGAGCGTATGTAGGATGGAAAGAGAAGGGCGGCTTACATTAGTAGTTCGTACACTTTCAGGCGTCAACGTAAACTTGACCGTGTCCTGCCCCTTAACCAGCGAATCGAACTCGCGCGCTCGGTCTTCCTCAGACATACGTCCGCTCAAGCCACTTGCACTCAGACCTCTGGAGCGGTGGCTGGCGCTCGAGTCTCGTCCGCTTGACGTAATGGGATAAGCACCTTTTCGAATAGAAGAAGAGGTACTAGCACCACGCTTCAACGAAGAATTATCCGAGGACGACTTATCAGCTGGACATGTCGAATCGTCCGCGGACATGCGATGTAATCGTTTCTCGGATGTGTCAGTCGCAGACGTAGGGCTACGCTTGGGGCTGTCTGCAGTACGCACACTGCGACTGGTCTGGATGGAAGGAGTTTTGCCACGGTGCTGGGTAGTGTTGCTCTCGACTTCTTGCAAAGCTGGCAGCGACGAACCACGTGATACTGAACGAGCCTCTTGTCTCCTGGGTGCACTCGTAGGACCTTGGCTGTCGTATGTGGCGACCGCCTCTCCTCCAGGCGACTGACGTGAGAGACCTCCACCTCCCCCACCCACCCCTGGGCCCAACACGAGTTCCGCACCATTGAATGATCTTCGGTTGGCTTGTTTGCGTTCGATGGCACGCTCCGGCACCGTAGGTTTCCCATCAGGCGAAGGCGTATTTCGATACGTGAGGCTCGTCGGCGTGAAATTTCTCGGCGGCATTTCAACGTACCCTCCACTCCCAGGCCTCTTATTCCTTTCGTGAGGCGAATCTCCAGGGGAATTCGACGCGGACCTAATGGCATTATCGCTTGTCCTCGCCACACCAATAGCTCGATGTGCTGGCTCCTCTTCGTCCTCATCATCGTCAAGATAACTCCGTCCCTCAGCATTACCAGTCACCTTCGGTGTAGCCAACGGCGTACCAACAGGTGATTTGAGACTCGAGCTGCGCGTAGAAAAGGTACGGACTAGTCCAGGTTTACCGGCTCGCTCAATGGACATCCTCTTGGACCTCATGACCTGAGGGCTCTCAGTAGTGGCCTCGTGCGTCTCAGGCTCATCAGCTTCCTGTGAGGGTCCTACTGACATCCTCTTCGGTTGTGTAACCTTTGATTCGCTCTCAGTGACCTGATGGGTCGGCTCAGGTTCAGATTCCTTCGTCGCTGGTTGTCCGATTGCGCTGCGACGGAAACCCATGCCCGTAGCTGCTGCGAATGCTACCATTGAGGCGTCGGGTTCAGGCGACTCGTCTTCCCGGCTGTCTACCGAATCGCGTTGCTGAGACATGTTGTCTAGTGTAGTTTCTTGTGTGGTCTGTGGTGTGGTTTCCTCGGTCGCTTGGGAGGGGGTTCCTCGCTCGGTATCGTGTGTAGACTCTTCTCCGTCATGCGTAGGTTCCTCTTCATCCCCCGTAGGCTCTTCATAGCCATAGTACGTAGACGGCATGAAAGTTCCCGCAGGACGCATCGGCATACTCATGGGCCTCGCCTTCTTCCCCCCATCCCCAAATCCTCCCTGGGACAGCACAAGCACACTAGACGGCCTCATCGGCCGCTGAACAGGCGTCTGCGTGCCCTCTCTCTCCCCCTCATCCTCATATGGGGGCGCCAGGCCAGGCACCTCGATCTCGTTGACATCGTTGTCGCGCATGGGAAGGGGTATATTAGCGGCGATATCAGTTTCGGTAGGAGGATGCTCGGGCAGCGTCTCGTGCTCGCGGATCTCGTGCTCGCTATGCAAGGTGTTGATGGTCTCGCGACTGGCTCTGCGGTGGTGTAGGCTCGAGTAGCTCGAAGCAGCATGGACGCCTCGGCCAGGGGACATGGGCGAAGTAGGCGATCGCACGCGTTTCCTCCACGTTCTCCAGAGGCGGCCGAGGGCCGAGTTGAGGGCAATCTTTTCCACGTCTGGCTCTTCAATGACCAGCCGCTCGATGGGCTGTTGCTCGGCATGGTCGTCGGCTTGCTGCGCGAGCTTCTTCATCCTGGCAGCCATGCGCGCAAAGGCAGCCGAGCCTGCGACAAGCAGCAACTGCTCAGCGACGTATTCAACAACCGAGGTGAGGAAGATGGCCGACGCCCAGGCGACAAGACCAGCCTCGTCGTCCTCGTCTTCGTCCATGCTCAGACCGCGCTCCTGCTGCACATAGCGCTCCTCGTCCTCGTCCTCGAGCTCGCCCAGGCGCGTGTAGACCATGATGCGCAGACGCGTGCGCTTCCATACCTTCTCCACGTCCCATCTGTCCATTTGCTTGGCATGCTCCGTGGACATGTCCTCATCGTCTTCTCCCGCCAAAAGGCCCTGGAGCTCCTCATCCGCGGCCTCGATGGCGTCGCGGGCCAGTCGCGGCTTGAGCACGTCGGACACGGCGGGTCGGGTAGCAGCCCGGGCGGGCGACCGCGCAGACGAGAGGAAGGCGAAGAGCAGGTGGTCGAGGAAGGCATTGAGGAGGGCCAGTGCCTGTTCGGAAAATATGGCGTTTTGCAGCTCGTCCGTGTCGGCGTCTTGGTCGCGCAGCTGCGCATTGTGGTGATCGGTGACGGTCTGTGAAGCCACGGATGCGGCGATGTAGGCAGGGGCGGGTCGGACCGTGGCGGGCATCTGGAAGGCGACGGATGAGGCCAGAGAGGGTGTCTTGTCGCTGCTGAAGCTGTG